AAAAATGGTGATTTGCGAGCTCGGAGAAAGCTTGGTACGTTTCTGAAGTTAGAAATCTTTTCTACTATTACTACCACGCCTAGGTTAACGCGAAAATTTGGAAATCTCCCATTCAATGAGAAAGATTTCTTGTTGCATGGATCCCCGGCACGGCCCATATACCGATGATGGGCCTACAATATGTACGAAAACACAATAGCTAATACGGGGGAGGGGGTCGTACTGACACCTCCGAGAGGGAGCGGTCGTAAAAATTTCGAAATCTGCGCAACGCACGGTTGACCTTGAGCGCAAGCCCTGCGATTTACCCAGATTTGTTAGCGGCTTGTTTATTCCAGTAGCTGCCTTATCACTCACTTCATTTTGCGGACGGATAGAACGGCATGCACACAGACAAACTGACACACCAAAAAGGGGTTTTGTACAGTGAAGTGATATAAAAGGTCCACTCCACAAAAATCTCCGGAAATCACAAGAAGCGCAACCAACGTGCTTAGACAATAATCTGTCAAGTCAAGCATGCAAAAGAAAGGTTATTCAAGGATTTATTTTAGTGTTGTGCTGACTCGTAGCCTCAATGAATAACTATTACGTGACAGGAGCCATCAAGAGACTTGAACCCTGTATCGCAGCCGAAAGAGGAATTTCAAGCACCTTCTTCAGTAATGTAGTGTTGTGTTTATTGTATATAAAAAAAGCTTCTGAAGATGTAATAGCTTCCCTTTCAAAATATGGCCCATAAACCATGTGCCAACATTTGGAGGCCACCCTGTACATTGACCGTCACAGGATGTCCGCTACTATTAACCCTTTGGCGACAATGGCACCCACCGGTGGGTGCCACTATGACCGTCGCGTGGGACAATGGCACCCAATGGTGGGTGCCACCCTAAAATTTTCTTCTTTACCCATTTAAAACATTTTCAACATATCAGTAATTATAAGCAAGCTCCGTTACGCCTATGTTTAGCATATTTTGCAGAAATGTTTGTTACTAGCTAATTTATATGAAATTTTAGGATATGGCACTTCGCTCGGCGATGTATTAACTATTGTATTTTATATCTATTGTGTTTTACATTCGCCCCTAATGCAAAAGATCCTCGCCTTTGTTTCGCAAAAGCATACATAACGCGCGCTCCACAGTACAGGATTCCCACGTTGACGGTTGATACGGACGGCCGACCCTTACAGGAAATGAAAATGTGTAGATAATTCATAGTATTTGGTGGAGCGATGGATGATTTCTTTTCATCGGAGGATGCCTGCCTGATAAATTTTCCTCATCAAAATTGATCAAGACTTACCACACCAGAAATGGAGGAGGTGGAGGTGACGGAGGAGGATATAACGGTGAGGTAGGTGTTGGCTCCATGAAATCTGCTTCTTCAAATTGACGAAAATGTGCTCCTTGCATATCAGTATCTTGCCTAGAAACTAGAACTCAATTTGAACTGTTGGTTCCTCGACACGAATTGTATTACGCGTTCATTTTTTTGCTGTTTGATAAAAAAATCAGTTGCTGACAATTGTTGAGAAGTTTATGAATGGTCATATGGATAAGGCACCACTGCTTCCCTTTTTCCAATATTGGCCATCATTTCAGAAGTGGTGAGTTGAGTGTTTTTGCCAGCACCCGGGCCATCGCATTTACAATTAAATGCGAATGGACCAACAAGGAGGAGTTACTTAGCCGATTATTTATAGTAGGATTGTTTTGATAGTCTAGGCGATGTGATGCGGAGATGCGTGGAGTTGCCAGGGTGTTTTGGACTCTCACTCGTGACAACGATACACTTCCCGATCAACATTATTGAGATGCTGCAATCCTTCCTAATAAGCGTCTGTTGAGGGGTGCATTCGATCCGAGCGTTGTTTATGGAGGACAATGTGCGAACACATCGAACAGCCCAGATGGAAAACTTTTGGAACGAAAGGATATTCAACGACTGATTGAGTCTGCTCACGTTTCTCACTTAAATCCTATCGAGCACGTGTGGGATGCATCTGGGAGAGCTACCGCAGCACAGCCACATGCGCTAATAGCTGTACGGCAACAGTTAATCGCAGTGAACTTAGCATAGCATTCACTGCCGTCCATAGTGTTCACACACCCCATCAGGAACCATGTCTTGTCTTCTGAGAGATCCCCATGATTAAAGGAATCTTCCGCGGAAAAAGCTCCGCCTCCATTACCACAGAAAAACGATACCCCTTAGGCCCCTAGCCTCATGAGCATAGCAAAAAGAACGGAACATAAGCGTTAGTTTCGATAATACTAATCCTACACACAAGACAAAATGATCACTCTTTCCGTGGAAGATTCCTTTAAGGTATCGTTTTCTGTGGTAATGAGGGCGGAGCTTTTTCCGTGGAGGATTCCTTTAAGGTAGCTTCATCCAAAGCGCTTCAATCACATGTTCAGAAGAAAATCCCCAATCTCGTTTTTCTCGGTGCGTGCTTCCCGCAGTGGTCCCCTATGATGTACTGCAAGAGTCCCTCTTCTGAATGCTCGAGATTCCATCGAGCTAGTTTACATAACAGTGAGACATCATCTTCAAGTTTTGAACGCCAGTGGATTTATAGACGTAGGGTGGGAAGTACCAATAGATGCTGGGCCCACGCGCTGATCACCGAAAACTAAAAGAACACCTCATGTGGAAAGAGCCCTCATCAGCGAAATATTTCGATTTAGTAAAGAGATGATATGTGGCTATGAGGCTCAGGGAGAGCTCGAACGTATTCGTACTCTTGTCCGTGGCGTTGTGGTCCTGTCATGTGTGCTGGTTACATGCTCAACTTGCTTTGATATCGAGATTTGTTAATCTTCCCACCTCAGAAATGAAGATGGCGGAGGCGACGTTGGTGGATAAAAAGGTTGAGTAGGTGTAGGTGATGGAGCCAAATCCTCAATTTCATGACGATGCACATCTCGTATATCAGGATCCTGCCTAAAAATAAGTGTTCATTTCATTATCAGAGTTCGTTCACAACATTGGCTGCCATTCATTTCAAACATCCATGGAAAGGAAACTCTATGGTTTTGACACATGTTGCAGACAGAGTCACTCAAATAGCAACCAACAGTGAAAATAGTGGGTCCGCTGAAGGAGGGGTAAAATGGGGGAGGAGCTCCGCAGTAGAGAACCATTGATTATGTGGGAAAGTGGATAGGATGTTGATGATGTAGGGCACATCCCCAGTCCTTATCAAAAAGGTAATTTAAGTGAGCATGTTGTCAAAGTTCTTGTTTCTACCACTAGAGATATCTATGCCACTAGAGACGCAAGCACAAGGGAGTGTTCTAGTATTCCCTCCCCAACGCGTGTTGAATAACACCATCACTGCGGCTGCGAACCTTTTGCCAAATAATGTTCTTTGTATAACAGTACTCTGACAACCCTATCATTTTATGATGAGGAAAAATTCAAAACATTCCACACACAACGTGCAACGGAGTAGATGGAGCAGCCATGGTTTGAGCCACCGATGTCATGGGTCATACATCAGGAAGATGTACGTATATCTCAGAATCCGCAGTTTTCTGCTCTAGAAGATGTTCGGAGATAATTAACTGGAAGGTGAGAAAGGCAAAACCAAGGCAGTAGAATTCGGGGCAAAGACGTTTGCGGGAGTCCAGTAAGATCACTGCTCTAAACTTAATATATGGATAGCGAGATCGCGCTAGGAGATTTAAACCCTTCTTAAATCCCTCCCACATCCAGAAGCCCCCATGATAATTCATTTACCACACTAGGCTTCTTAAAAATGACTTTTGTTCTCTGAGTCACGTTCTAGCCGATAACAACATATGTTTTCGAACTTCCTTCGTATTTGAAACTTATAAGCTTCATGTCATCAAAAAAAGTTCATCATATTGGAATTCTGTATACAGTTAACGCCGTTCATTCTTCGATCCATTTCCAGGCTGGGTATTATTTCTACAATTAGCATATTTTATGCATATTTTGCGGTAAAATGATTGCATCACCTACAAGGAATTCCTTCAACTCTTGTGCCTAGACCTTAAATCTTAGCACTCACTTATTTTATGGAAAGGGGACTGTGCAGAGATAGTGGGTGGCAAAAAGTGATAACGACTGATAATTACTGATGGGGAATCTCGAGAAAAAACATCACTGAAGCATCGCACCACTCGTTGTTATAGCTAGAGTATTCACATTCACATATGATTAATGTGATGAGTTATATCTAGGAGGTATCTCTGTTGTGGAGAGAAGGTATCGACCGCCAATTACAATTAAGATTAAGAAACTTACAATTAGCACTATTCAAATTATAGCTACCAACGACTCAATCCACTGTTTTAACAGAGAACGTTTTTCATCTTCTCATACATTTTGCCTTACTTTCGTATTGGCAAGGAGTTGTTTTTATATTCCAAGTTGATCCGGTTTGATTTGAATTAATTTTGCTCACGATTCTGAGTAGACGAAAATAAGTGCAGGTACTGGATCATGTAATGGATACCGAAGTGGTGAATGGTATGGAAACGTTACATCGTCAACTTCATTCAAAGTGACAGCCTGTCGACGGAATATACCATGATTTGCCTGGTGATGCCTAAACGACTTCAGTTCAGCGAGAAATAGATTCATTACTCTCAAGCTCACTAAACAACGACATAGTGCTTTTCACCTGATTTCTGTGTTCAATCTTAGCGGCTTCCGTCTCGGAATCGGTTCATGATTGAATTTATGGGAACTGTTTTCCCCATACTTTTTATAGATTTTAGACTCAGGAAATTATAGCTCATTCGGTTTTTTTTCGATGATCCAACTGTATTTGAAGACTAATACGAGGAATAGGAAAAGAAAAGTATATAAATGAGTTTGTCTGATCATTTAAAGGCAAGATCCGAGATAGCGTTGTTGTAAGAGAGTGCTTAGTAGTGAAGGCTGGGATGCGAAGTGGACTAAAATGAATAAAAAGTAATAGTAACCAGCAAAGGACAACATATGAATTTTTCCTTCGGTGAAAAAGCAGAATTCCTGTTCTGGTTCCACTGCACGCATGCGTTTGCAAAAAGTGGATTTGGTCACACTTTCTTCGTGTTTGATTGATTTTCTGGTAGAGCGGTTTGCATTAAGCAGTACATCTTTTGGATACAATTCACGCAAGTGATCTTCTATGATATCATGCAGTTTTGTTCATCGAACGATTCAGCGATGTCGATTTCTTGAGAGACTAGGCAGGAAACGACAAAAAACTGTTTGGGGGTTTCATCCAGTAAGGTGGACGGCGTGATGCAAATCTTCGAAGTTGTGGTAATTTTATTTTTTTCAGTGAGTCCTCTAATAACAAAGAACATATACACTTTTCTTATCTACTTCTGCTTTACTTTTACTGATTCTAAGCGGCGCAATGTGGTGAAGGGGGGACAGTCGCCGCCGCAGCGCGCGGTACTTCGACACGGAGCGGGAAATCCGTGAGCCAGAAGGACTGTAGCCAATCCAAGCATGTGGGGTGAGGGCACTCACTTGGCATGCGTGAAAAGCCGGAATGCTCGAATTTACATTTTGTAGCTTTATTTTTCGAGTTCAAGAGAGCAGGAACGTGCGCTCGGCCGCGATCCTCCCCTCCCCCACTCCCGAGCCATATTGCGCCGAGTGCTTCTTCGCACCACTCATCACAAAACCCGTGTACATCCAGAAAACACAAAAAATAGAAGGAATGATACCGTTAGTACTCGTTACTTCAAAGGACTCCTTGTGCAAATTGGCATTGGAGTAGGTCATGCACGCCGTGAACCACTTTCTCAAACAAAAACAGACTCGAAAAAATGAGGTTACCGCAGACTAATAACATCGTATGGCTTCGAAGAAGTCACTAAACAAGACTAGAATTATCGCAACCTTCTCGGAGATTCGCACCACGATCCCTCCCTTACTGGATGAGATCCTTTTTGGAAAAGCGGGGTTTGCCCCAAACGATCCCCTCCCCAGTGCAACGAATTCAATCCCATAAGTTGTAAAAACGCACTACCAATGGGAAATTTTTGTATTTCTTTCTGGCAGCGTCACCCATAAAATCTCACGCTGTGATTTAGGAAGAGTTTCACCCAGGCTTAGCCGTATGGAAACCCTGTGAGGAGATGACAGTACTGACTGATTTTTGTTTTGGTTTTAGCCCTTCTAAAGCTGCAGCCAGGGCTCTTCCCGCCCAACACCAGTTAGTGACCTGGATTCCTGGAGAAAACAGCTGGAAAAGTTTGCTTCTTCTAGTTCCAAGTATGAAAGCGCAGTGCACAAGTTAACCAAGTAAAAAAATGGCAAGGAGACATCTTTTTCACTAGCATCACGAAAAGAAAAAGAAGGTGGATCATTCCCATTAATATTCCGTAGTCGTTTTTAATATATAATCCTCACCCAGAACAGCCAATTATGAAGGCGATGATGCATAGAAAGATGAAATTTAGTCCGTTCATAAAGTTGGCTGTAGCTGCGGGACTGTAGGAATGCAGCTAACGGCGTATAGGAACGCCTCCTCAACGACACCTTTTGCCCCGTCCGCTCAATTGCAGAAGAACAGTAAGGATAAATATGAAAGCGAAACCAATGGCATCAATGATTTGTTGACCTATTTACGTGGATAGGTTCATGCGACCTTTACTCGTTTTTACGATAGCAAAATAGGTTACGATTGGGCGAAAGCAGTATACCAAGTAGGCGCAAAAGAACAGCCGGAATGGCTCTACAAAGCGCTACTAGCGCTATCTGTTTTGCAAAGGTTTCGCTCCTGTAAGATTTCCACTGTAAGGAATGAGCTCGCGGTGGCGAATATATGAAAAAGGAAGAAGAAAAACGACGAATCGGACAAGATTGATGAATATTACCATTTGAGGTGGTGCACATCAGTCCCATTGAGACGTTGCAACTTATGTATGGGTCGTTGGCATATGGCATACGTATGCCTACTATGTATATGGAAAACGCTATGTCTGTGTATGTCTGTGCGTCCGTGTGTGTCACGAACTTTATAGCACGCGTCACAGCGATAGTGGGACCTTGATTATTACAAGTGTTATAAAGGTTTGGACCGGGTCACGGATACTTTATAATCCGAAGTGATAGCTACTGATAATAACTGATAAAAAGGGTCAGAAAGGGACTACCACAAATTTCGTTGGGCCATATGCAGTAACAGTGGCAAAATACTTACAGGATAGAAAAAGATCGGGCAAGAATAAAAGGTGGTTCTTTTCGCCTCTTACTTTGTCAACACAGTTTCCGTTTAGTGTAGGGGCTGTACTGAGACACAGATAGTGAGTGATCCAAAGTGGTAACTACTGATTAGAGCCGATAAGAAGGGTTGGAACCCTACTCCCACCACTTGCGTGGCGCCTTTCGCAATGACAGTAGAACTTTGGTTTTACATATGGTCTGGGGAGGGAGAGAGGGGAACACACATTTGGTGACTGGGAGTGATGACAACTGATATCGGTTGATAAGGAGAACCAAGTTGTGAGTACCACCATTATCGTTGCTCCCTTCACGGTCACAGTAGCATATTGATTTTTACATATGCTATAGGAAGCTGAACAGATGCACAGGCTTTGTGCGTAAACTTTACTGATGAAGTGCTGATAAGAGCTGCCGAGAAAATAACAATTACCAATTTTGTTGCGCCCATTGCAGCAACAATTGGAAAGTTGATTCAGACTAATGGTTTAGGGGGCTGAAAGGAGACACAAGTGATGTCTAGAGTGAGTTTGGAAAATCCACCATCATCCAAGGGGGTGTTTCATCTTCATAGGTGAGCCTGTACCAAGTGCAAAGCCACTTTCAAATGCCATTGCTAATCACGAAAAAAAAAACTGAAATAAAAATACAAGAAGACAGACTGAGGCAAAATAAAGACAAAATGAATGTGGCAAAATTATAGGAGCACGTGAAATACCTCGAATGAAACCAGGAATAAATGCAAAGGATGAGCTACGTAACTCTTGCGTAAACAGCGGAGTCCCTTGCTTCAGGATTGGTGTCCTATTTTCATAACCCATCCAACCCCGATAAATCACTCTACTTAGCCCTATTTCTGATATGGGAATGTGTAGTGCTCTTTGTAATGATAGTTGATTAGTTGAATTATTGTACTTCCAAAATTGGTTTGGTGATGACATTATTGCCGATAGCTCACCAATAAAGTTGTGAAAATATAAGAAGCTTCATAATTACTCGATCTTCAACACAAAATAAGTAGAAAAAGACAAAATAAAAAAGTCTGTCATTCAGCAATATGAAAGTGTTCTGTCTACGGAATATTATGGTGGGCCTTCGACATATACAATAGTAATGTAGAACTACCGGGGATTCTCGATCAACAACAAAGGTGAGAATCTCTGATTTACAAAGCACAACCTTGCTCTGTCGGTTCATCAGTATATGTGTACACATGCGGTGTGACCGTTTCGTCTCTTCATTCTCACAATAGGTAGGCGCGTGTTCAAGAAAATGATTGTTGAAACCCATTCGCAACAATTTGGGAAGCCGGCAAGCTCTTGCATGTCAATGTTTTGTAATGGAAAAGATATGATAACACCATTTTTCTGACTGTTACAAGAACACCCATTGAGCATAGTCCCAACCATTGACAGGGTGTTTTCGTCACCCTCGAAGGAGAAGGGTGTAGAGGCGGCTAGAAAATCCGGGTTCGAATCAATGACAGGGTGATGTTAACGTTATTTCATAATTGCGATACCTTATACTTTGTCCGCACTGCTCCACTTCAATGGACCTCTTAGGAGAATTCTGCGATAGGGACGATGGTCGAACTAGGGACGATAGTAGAACTTATCTAGTGGAGAGACAAGTGGACCCCCTAAGGGTGCGGACCGACGCGCAATTTCTATCGAAGGATATGCTCACGGCAATCTAGCATGGCCTTCCCCGCGGCGCTACTATCGGCGTGGTGCTCCCTCTCTCTGTGTGATTCTCTAGCCGTTAAAGCAGAGAGAGCGTTAACGTTGAAGAGGGCAGCACCGATGAGAGTCGCATCAATGCACAAATCAAGCGGGCAAGGAAAGGACCTATTTCTCAGGTTCTGAGCCGTTTCTCAGTTTTTTTCTTCTTTCGTGCATCGTTGACTACCTCACACTTAATTCAAAAATGAGCTTCATCGTAAAATGCGCAATTGAGTGAAAGACAGCAGAGCGACAAGCGTGAAGTTCGCTCAAGGAAGGGGTCGGGGATCTCGCTTGCCTTGCTCTGCGCTTGTAAAACTGGCTTCATTTAGGTACATCTAAAGATTGTCAGCACAGGAAGGAAAAAAGCCTTAGTTGACATCTATGTGCGAGAGATCGAACGCCTTCTTAATGTAGGTACCAGATTAGTCCAAGCGTCAACCGCCGGGACCTTTCCTTTCCTGATTAAACTTCACGTTCCGCTGTGGTCCCTTCCACCTGGCACACCAACACCTTGTGGGGTGAACACATGCAAAAGGGAGTTTCATATAGTAGAGGGCATCGTCATGAGCATGACATGATGGTATTCTTCCGCCTCCCTCCCCATCCTTCCTTCCTCCTCACTGCCCTCCAGCTGCTACTGCAGCACCAAATGGAATGACCGGAAGTGTGCTCACTGTATGTTTACATAGCCGTAGGAGTGTTACCACAATTATCTCATTTCAAAGCATTGATAGCTCAATTCGTGGGCTACCCGACTCTGTTGGTGGTTGTTTATTCCATTGCTGCCTTATCACCCACTTCACTTTGCGCGAATGTACACACAGACATACAAACATAACGACGTACATATACTCGATACCGAAGAGTTGGGGTGGGCGTGTCACCGGAAGTGACGTTCACTTGATAGAAGCGGGGGGGATTTGGTTGGGGTCATCAAGTGCTTTCCAACATAACATCACTGATATCGCAAAGCATCTGACAACTCCATCACGCAACTTCTCTTAATTGCCGTCACTCGGTGATCACACCACTAACTGTCTCGATATTGGAGTAATTAAATATTTAGGATATCGACTGTAATCAAACACTGAGTTTGCGGTAAATAAAATAGAAGGTACGTAGCATAATTTGCTTTGTATTTCACAAGAGTTTTTTTGTTTGTTCTTATGATTATAACTAACTTTTCCCTACTTGTGGATGTCACAATTTTCAATCGGCTGCATCACACACCAGGGGCGGAAGTGGTGTAGTGGGAAGTGACACGCTACCGGCACAGGTACATACGTATCGTGAGTCTCGGCCAACTAAGTCTTCCATCCTTTCAGGGCCGGAGAATCGGTACCAGACCTGTCTGGGAGGATAAAAACACCGGCTTGTACTTCGGCTGGCCCCCGAGTCATTGTAGGCCACATCGCATTCTAACGCCACTACGAATGTACAAATGGAGAATGCATCTGTCCCAAAGAGAATTGATGCAATGCATGCTTGTATCCTTTTATCATACACAAAAACGTTGATTGACAACGCCGAAGAATTCTGTGCATTTCAAGTGTGGCGTCGTCAATACAGCATCTTCCCAGAAGAACGACTTAAAATAAGAAGGTATTCACCTAACCCAAGATCTTAATGGCGGTTTTAAATCCTTCTATTATATAAAGCGCTAACTTTGTGTGTCGGTTTGTGTATCTGTATGTGTGTGTGTGTGTGTGTGTGTGTATGTATGTGTGTCCGTCCGCAAAATGAAGTGAGTGAGAAGGAAGCTCATGGGATAAACAAACCGCTAACAAATCGGGTAGCTTACAGGATTTGAGATATCAATGTTTTGTAGCAGGATAGTTGTGATAACACTCTTAGGGCTATATAAACACCTGCTTAGCACACTTCCGTTCATTCCACATGGTGCTGCAGTGGCAGCTGGAGGGCAGTGGAGAGAGGAAGGGAGGATGAGGAAGGGAAGCGAAAAATCTACCGTCATATCATGATTGTGTCCCTTCTACTGTATGAAACACCATTGTGTTGCATACGCGTCACTTCCAGGAGGTGTTGGTGTCACAGGAGGAAGGGACCATAGCGGAGGATAGAAAGCTTGCGCAGGAAAGGAAGGTCCCGGCGGTTGACGGGGGACTAATCTGGTATTAAATAAAGTAGCCGTAATAGAATTCAATTAAACCAGTTGCTCGCAGTTTTCGGTTTATGATGAACTTGTTGGTTTACACTCTATCGAAAGCGCTTCTACATATTTGAGTAACACCGCTTGATAAGTTAGTTCACCGTCTCTAGCATGAACACTAGCTTAGCCTACGAATGGTTCTTTTTCTAGGCATGCGAGTCTCATGTAACCATCTCTAGTGACCACAACTGAGTGAAGGAATATTTTAAGGTCTTGTATACAGGGGGAGCAAAAAAGAGTCACTTTGCCTCATGGCGCACATCATCAAATTTTTCGTCGCACAGGATGCCTTGTTTATGAATGTTTACGGCAGAATATTCCTTATGTTCCCCCAAAGCAGAAGCAGGCCCTCCTTCACTGCCCCCACCGTCTTCAGAATATGACGTCATCTGCCGTCACCGTCGAGCTCAACGAGGCTTACCGTAATCGCTCCGGCCTGAAGCTGCTACATAATTTCTTCAACGATTAACTGGTGAATAGCTTCTAAGAGACACTAGCTGTGACTGTGCAAGACCGCTTTTGACCAGCGTTTCAGGGACGTCGTAATGGTCTATGGTACCTCGACGACCTCGTTGAGCTCGTACCGTGAACCATGTTTCCGTGGGAAAATCTTCTGATGTCGTCGGTGTAGAAGGCTGTTATGTAAATTTTGATAGATTAGAATGTGCTCTTCAATATTCAAGATCATTTGGTTTGGTTTTGTAGCGTGTAATTTAATCCGTTTTGAATGTGGAGGGAAGTGATTCTTTTTTTTTGCTCCCCGCCCTTGTATGTGGAAAGTGCAGTAT